ACTGTGTAGTGGGTCTCCACCAGCTGCTTCGTCTTCTCGATCATCTGGCGCCCGAAGCCGGTGACGCTCTGGGGGACACCGCAGTGGCCACTGTCCCCTGTGCCCGGCCAGGGCGCGGCCCGCAGGAGGCTGCCCCTCGGCCTGGGGCTTGGCACTTGGGGGGTCACGGCTGACTTATCTGGGTTACGCAGCCCGTGCTCCCGCCCCCCCGCATCCCAAGGCCAAGCTGGTGTGCCCACCCGTCCCCTTAGCCTGGGAGAAACATGAAGAGCGGGACAGGATGGGGCGGCAGCGAGGCTGAGGCAAGGCGGGGTGGCCCGGCCCCCAACTCTCTGCCTAGGGACTGGAGGCGGATACGGAGGAGGCGGGTAGAGCCGGGGCCCGAAGCCCAGCCAGGGGGCCGCACTTGGCCCCCCCAGGACAGGCCGGCCTGTGCCCTGGGCCCTGACTGATGGGTATCCGCTCGCGGGGCCTGGGGACCCCGGAAACCTGAACGACCCAGGCTCTGGTGGGCCCCGAGCCTGAGCAGCGAAGGTCAGTCAGCCATTCAGGCTCTCCTCCTCCGTGAAGGACCCCCAGAACCTCGGCACCCCTGCTGGGTGAGCCTCCCTAGTGATGTCGTTGCCGGCCGAGGGGACACCCAGGCCTGGCCCCCGTCCCTCCCCTGTGGTAAGTCCTGACCGCGTGCTCGTCACCCTGAGTGCTGAGCCCTTCTAGTGCACCACTGGGTCTCAGGGTGGTTGGAGGGACCCCCTGAACGCAGGGGACTAGGAGGGTGTACCTCCCCACCTAGGCCGTTCTGCCCCGAGCCCGGCCCTAGTGGGAGAGGGCCCCAGGGCTGGAGGGACCACACCCCAGAGGAGGAGCGCGGCTGGGGGACCCTGCCAGTCCCTCGGCCCACCTGCCCGCCACAGGGCTGCCACCTACCTGTGAGATCTCCAGGCATGGCAGCTTGCCCACCTGGGCACCGGTGAAGCCGTACACCGAGTTGGCGCTGACTTTAAGTGCCAGCTGCCGCCCGTCCAGGACCTGCCGCCGCAGGGGGTCTGTCTCCTTGGCCAGCTCGGCCTTGGCCCTGGGACACGGGGGGACAGGGGCCAGTCGGGTGCCGTCCCGGGTCTCAGGGAGACCGGACGCCTGGGCATTGGTCAGGGCCTCTCTGGAGGAGGGCACAGGGCTGGCCCGAGGGGCCGCAGAGGGCGAGGACGCCGGGAGCCTCAGGCCCGAGGACCCACCTCTTCCGCGCGCTGAGCAGGTTCTCCAGGATCTGGGGCAGCAGCCCCTTCCGCACCGACGCCTTCACGAACTCGTCCCCCGTGGGCGTCTTGATGAACTGGTCCTCTGTGAGCCTGGGCGAGGGCAGAGAGCTGACGGCCTGCCCGCCAGCACCCCCGCCTCTCACCGAGGCCAGCCCCTGGGCAGTCTGGAGGGCGCACCGCCGTACCCCAGCTTCTGGGCAGCCCCGGGCCGCAGCAGCGTGGTGTAGCACAGGTTGTGGGCCATCATGATGGACGGGTACAGCGAGGAGAAGTCCAGCGTGGTGATGGGGACATCGTAGTATCTGCAAGGTGGGAGGGAGGGTCGGTGTGGGGGGGCACGGTCAGGGGGCCGGTGCGCCAGACTCCGGGCCTCACCCTTTGAGGGGCTCGATGACGGTGGCTCCCGTGTAGTCCTCGCCGCCCTCCGTCTTCACCACGGGCATCAGCAGCCCCTCGCGCATGGCCTGAGGCAGAGGGGGAGGTGGGGTGGGCACGGTCAGCGGCAGGGGTCAGGGAGGCAGAGGGCACCGGCGTGAGGGGCCTGGAGGGGGCCTGGCACTGACCTGCCGCAGCAGCTGGGACACGACCTTGACCTGCTGGCCGCGGCTGAGCAGGTAGCCCAGGGGCACGCCGGTGACCCGCGCCATCTCCACGGCGTTCACCAGCACCATGAGCCGCTCCAGCAGCCGCAGCGGCAGGTAGGCGTCCTTGAGGCAATACACCGCCAGGCGGCGGCGCGTCTGCTCGTTCCCGTTCTGGGGGCGGCAGGGGTGCGTCAGGGCGGCGGGCGTGGGGGGAGGCGGCGGGGTGCGCGGGGCTCAGGGAGCCGTTTGGGGGCCGGGGGGTGCGCGCCGGCGGCCGGCACCTGCAGGTCGGTGATGATGCTGTGCTGCACGTCCTCCTTCTGCTCGCCCAGGAAGTGGAAGCTCACGGCGTTGAGCGTGTAGGAGCGCAGCTTGTGCTCGCGCAGCAGCACCTGGGGCGCAGGGGGCTCGAGGTGGGCACTGGCCGGGAGGTGAGGCCCGCAGGGGGCGCGGTGGGCGGGGCCGGGCGCGGTGGGCGGGGCCAGGAGGTGGGGCCGGGCGCGGTGGGCGGGGCCAGCGCCGGGTGGGCCCCTCCCTACCTGCAGCATGTCCATCTGCACGCGGCCCACCATGCTGACCACCTTGCTGTCCCGCCGTCCTGTCTGCTTGGACTGGAAGGACGAGTCCCGGATGTTGGAGCGGAGGTTGGACACGCGGCCCAGGAAGGGGAACTTGTCCACCTGTGGATGCCCGCAAGACAGGCAGAGGCGTGTGGGAGGCGTGAGCGACCCGGGGCAAGGGAGACCAGACCCCCAGGACGGCTGTCCCAGGGTCGGGGGCTGCAGATCTGGGTGCAGGTTGCTGGGTAGGTCGGCCCGAGGGGAGGGGAGGTGGCAGGCTTGGGGGTGATGCTGAGCTCTGCAGGGAGGGGCAGCCACACAGGGTGCAGGACCTGGGGCCCAGGGAGAGCTAGAGCTAGGTCTGGTCTCGGGGACAGGGCCTGGCCAGGCCCTTTATGGACGTCGGCAGTGGGGTGGCCTCTCCCGGCTGCTGGGGACCGTGTGGCGTGTTCCCTCACAAAGTGGGCAAACACAGGAGCAGAAAGTAACACGTTCTACCGGTCGTCCCGGGTGGGACTGTCCCCCCAGAGATGCCGAAGCTTAACCCCACACGCCGCCGACCAGACCGCAGGAGTGCGGCCTCATTTGGAGGTCCCTAGGCGGCCCCTCCTTGCCGCGCCCTTATACAGGGAGCGGGGAGCAGAAAGAGGGCACAGACCTACAGGCGGGACAGGGCGGGCCCAAGGAGCCCACCCTGGACACCCGGTCGTGGGCTTCGAGCCCCAGCCAACGCGGGCCCGAAGCTCCTGGGCCCCACGCTCTCCGCCCGGCGCTTTGAGCTTGGGGTTCTGCCCCCCACCTCCGGAAAGTCTCTCCCCTCACCCTCGCTGCCCCCGAAGCCTGGAAGACCAGTCACAGCACCCCCACGGGCTTCCCCCCACACCTCGGGATTAACAAGCCCCCTCGCCTCTGCAGGAGCCTCTTACCCTGGGAGTGCGCAGGGACGGCTTTAGGGGTGTCTCTGGAGCTGCCAGCCCTGAGCGAGCGGGGCGCTCCCGGTGGGGGAGAGCAGGAGGAGGGCAGGATGGCCGCCCATACCCTGTGCCCCCAGCTACCAGCAAGCACCCCCACCTCCAGCCCTACCTTGAGGGTCTGGGCCCGGGCGATGAGGTAGGGCAGGTCGAAGTTCTGGATGTTGTAGCCGGTGATCACATCGGGGTCCATGGTGCGGATGAAGGTCGACCAGGCCTGGTGGGAGGGCATGCAGGGTCCCCCGTGTGGCTTCCCTGGCCACCCCCAGCCTCAGCTCCCCCCAACTCCCAGAACATTCCACGAGAGGGACCCTGGCGCCCTCCCACCAGGAGGGGAAGCGGGTGCACGCGGCCTGTGCAGCGGGGTGGCCACTGAGGACAAGGGGGCCGCGAGTCACCTGGAGCAGCTCCTCCTCCCGCTCGTAGCTCAGCACCTGGGCGCCCAGGATGGGGGCGCAAGGCTGCAGGGTGAGCGCCAGGCGCAGGAAGGGCTCCGGCTCGCCCCAGCGCAGGCCCAGAGAGCAGATCTGGATCACGGGGTCCCGCTCGGGCTCAGGGAAGATGCCTGCGGAGGGGTGCTCGTCCCGCTGGGTGCACCCCGAACCCCAGGCCTGCAGACCCCAGCGCCCCTCACCACCCGCACCACGGTCCTCACAGCGGGGCGGGGCCGCCCCGCCCCAGGCCTTTGCTCTCGCTGCCAGGCTGTCCCCACCCTGCACCCCTCGAACTGCAGGGACAGCTGGCGGCTTCGGCCTCAGCACCCAGGGGACAGACCTTTGCGGCCAGCACACTCGATGTCGAAGCTGAGCACCCGCAGGGGCGCGATCCGCTGCCACGGCCCTTCGGGCGGGTGACTGACCACGTGCGACCACCACACGTCCACCTCCAGCTGACACAGCGTGGCCTGCGGGCACCCCGCGTGTCAGGTGGCTGCGGCGGGGTCCCGGCACCCAGCCACCCCCAGGGCCCTCGCCGGCACCTTCCCAGTGGGCCGCAGGAAGTATTTCCCCGCTGGGAGTTCCAGCCAGTTGCAGCCGACGATGTCCGTGTCCACCATGAATCTGGAGAGGGTGAGGGTCAGCGGGCACCGGCCGACGCGGGGGGCTCGGGGGCTCCGGGCCGGAGGAGCGAGGTGGGGCGGGGCTACCTGATCTCAAAGTCCACGTTGGCCTCGTAGGGGGCAAAGCTGGGGGTGCCCAGGC